CTAGTCCGCGATATTGGAAAACTTCGAATCTGTTGCGGATACAAGTGGCAACGAATTTGCATCGTTTCGAATGTAATTCGACTTTTTCTTAATATCGTTGAATCCTTTGAAGGTCTTGAATGTTGAATCGCGATAGGATTTATAGATCTTCAAATTTTGATCGTAATTAAATTATTATTTGAGAGAAAAAATATTTCGGAGTATCTGGAATTCGAATGATTCATATAATCGGAATTGAATATATGTGCCATATAATTGGACAAAAGAACTTTATAAATTCAAACATTCGAGACCTGTCAAGATTCAATAACAAATATTTATCAATACTTTTAAAATTTGCAAGTTCTAATCACGTTCGAAGCGACTCAAATTCGAATAATCCTTCGAATTTGCTTCGAAGTTGAGATTCAGGTACCGAACGCTATTTGTGGCTGAGAATAATCGAACGAATCAACTGTTCCAGGAACAATAACGACGAAGGTGAGAGAGTAGTATATACGATTGATGAATAAAAAAAAAAAAAAAAATCGCGATTACGATATCTATAATGTGGAAGAACGGTTGTACGAAAGTCTGAATGATGGGGAAGAACGGAAAGCGGACCGCCATTTTGTTCCCGCGCTCGGCCATTTTGGTTCCGTGACACTTTGAAGGATCGTTGTATCGAGCCGGTTGACGTGCTTCTAGGCTTATCGGCAGTGCATTAAAAAAATATCGTACGAGGATGATCTTAACTCGAGCAATCACTTAATTAAAAAGCAATAATTATTACGCGTTATATAATATAAATATATGTATATACTTAAATGCATCGTATAGGAATCTACTAGGTTCGTGTATCTGGCAGTCTGACGATCACAATGCTATAGGAATATCCCGCTGAACTTAAAAAAATATACGTCTAATCAGTGTGTGTACGCCTGTATAGCGCGCGTGAGCGCTACCGATTAGTCTTATGGGGTTGCGTGTACATGTATAGTACGTATGTTCGTAATTATACATATCGTGGATATATGTGTGTGTATATGTATGTGTATTACTTTAGAGTTCTGCGTATGGAAGGAAGCATTAGTGAGAAGCAAAAGACGATTCGGTCTTACAAATGATACCGAATCGGTGCTTAATACTGTACCCTCTCTAGTTGGCCGCTTGGCGGCAGCAGCGACGAAGGGATATCGTAAAATGGCTGCCTTTCTCGAAAAGGCGAGTCGGAAATGACAATGGGTGTCCAACCCATTCGCGGACCGCGTGTAAAATGGGAACGTCGCGTGTCGTGTGGTGTGTGAGTTTTCATGCGATTCGTTGAACGCGACGAAATGTAATCTTCTCTCGATTCGAGTGAACTTAGCGCTTAAAGAACAAGTTTGGTGTATCCGTGTTTGAATCCTAACCTTTGATACAGGAAGCACGAGAATCGGTTCGATACCGCGATACCGTATGAGTTTTAAAGAAAAAAAAAATTTGTGACGTGAAATTTCGAAAGTGGATTTTTCTCTTTTCTCTTTTTCCTTTTTTTCCTCTTTTTTCTTTTTTTTTTTTTGTATTGTTTTTTCTCTCTCTTTCTTTCTCTTTTTGCGTCCCCGGTGAGCCACACGCGCACGGCATAGCCCGTTTAAAAATATGGAACCAGTGTGACCAGAATGGTTGCTATGGAAGAGCTCCGGTTTACCGGACGGTCTTAATCCGACTCGGGGCGGGCTGTTCTCTAGCGGACGACTCTAAAACTTCGAAAGGATATCGTGATTTTTGTTCGCCTCGATTCTTTCTTCGAAACCGTATTGGCTAGCTTCTAGGATCCATGGAAACACGCGTTGAAATTGTGTACGGTAATCGGTAAAAACACTGTAGTGCCCGACGATCGATCGAATAGAGATTTCTGTTGGTAAATTTAAGTTAATTAAATATATACGCGTGCCTCGTCGTTCGTCTTCATATCGAGATAGATAAAACTCGATCGATTCATCGGGATACAGTGTCTCCAACGACTCGATCTGTACACGATACGATGAATTATTTCGTCGATCGACGGCCGATCGTACGAAATCTCGATTCGCTTTTCGGCGTTGTATTCGAACGAATGCGAACACCATTAACGCGAAAAGAGCGTTGCGTACAATCGCCTCAATCGAGGAGGAACGTTCTAACATTTTCTCACGGTGGATTCGAGTGGACGACGATTGCCTTGCGAAGGCAGCGCCCCGAGCGGGAGATTGACGCGGTCTCTCGTTTATTCGCGGTGCATCTCGTTACGCGAAAAAAAAAAAAATAAAAATTATAATAACATTAATCGATCGATTAATCAATTAATTAATATTAATCAATTAATAATAATTAATAATAATAAACCTTAGAAAACGTTAAAAAAAAATAGAATCGAAAATCGAGATAAGGAGGATCGGCAGTAAATAACCGAGTGATATATATAATATCGGAGGATATCGCGGAATTTCCGCGATAAATCAACCAGCCGCGTCGTCTTTCGGTCTCACCGCTCATCGATCGATCGATCGTTCGTTCGTTCGTTCTGGATCCTTGCCGAATTTAGCCTCGTTCCATCTCTTCTCTTTTCTTTCTCGTCGTCCATTCTTCGTCGTTCCTCGATCGTTTCTACACGCGTCTTCTCCTCCTTTGCCGCTTTTCTACCGTATTCTACCACTCTTTACCTCGCATTCTCCCTCTCTCCCATTGTGTGTTCGTGTCTCTCTACGTGTACGTGAGTGTGTATATAAGTGTTCTATCTCTTTCTCTTTCTCTCTCTTTCTCTCCCCCCCCC